CTGTGAATATAAATAGGTGACTAAATTAACTGTGGAAGGTCATAATTTCCCAAGTGAGGGTTGCTAACATGCTTACAAGTAATGATTGCAATTTCATTTTCTTGATTTAATAGGCCAGAGGAAAAACAATTAAATTTCAAGTGATTCTCTGTGTGTTTGTGCCTGTGTTTATCTCCGCAGATTCAAACTATTGAAAGTTGGAGCTCTCGTCTGAAGGCCCAAGGGTTTCTGGGCTGAGCTAATGATAATTCTGAGGTAGTTAATTTAACAAGTTCATCAGATTGATACTATTAGTAGTGATATTAAAAGCGGCAAGACTAATGGAATGTTCAAATATCAATAGTAATTACATTAACTTATTATTAAAGGCTAGGTAATTGTAGATGAATGTTAGCAGGATACCATAAGGAAATCCCAATACTAACTAGTGTTGTACTCAAGACCACCTAAACTGAGACCAAGGCAGAGTGAGACCAGGTCAAGACCAAAACCAGACCAGAATCCTTAAATTCATCTGAAAGATCCACATTTACTGCCTAAATAATGTCTTGAAAAAAATTATAAAAAATAATTTTCACTACAATTATAACTGTGTAAACAATGTTATGAACATTCTGAATATAGAAATATGATGGAAAAATAAGTGACATTAAATAATATTAAACTAAAACCGACAGTAAGTGGTGGCAAATCACTTAATGAGCGAGTTGTGGAATCATTTATTCAACTTCTTTGTTCAAATAAGCTGATTCGTAACAGAACACCACTGTGTGTTGCTCGGAAATACACGACAGTTTGTTGGTGCAAAAATTGTGTCTTAAATGTAAGTCACTTAGTATTAGCTTCTGGTTTACTGAATGTTTGTGTAAAATCAACATCACTTTTGCAATCATGCTGATATTTGCGAAAACAGCTCTCTTGCTCTTGTGATATTACTCAATTACATCATGTTAGAATATAAAATGCATGATCTCATACCAGTACTTTTTTGTGAACATTAATAATAGTGCTGTCAAACGATTAATCGCATCCAAAATAAAGGTTTTTGTTTACATAATATATGTGTGTGTACTGTGTATGTTTATTATATATATAATAATATAATAATACAATATATAATATATAATGTAAACAAAAACTTTTATTTTGGAATGCGATTAATCACGATTAATCGTTTGACAGCACTAATTAATAATACTTTTTGTGACAAAAGAACAGTCACAAACAAAACAACAGTAACAAAATAAATCAAATTAGAAATAAGTGTATATATTTATTTACAGTATGTTGATTGCATTTAAAGCAGTAAGTTTTAGATCCAATCACATTAATAATGTTAACAAATTAATCAGACAATGCACTGGCAATTTAGTGATTATCCCTGCAGCTGTGGTCTTGACAGGTCTTGAAATAAAATCCCAAGTAGTCTTAAGCTGCGTATACACTATACAATTTAAGGGCCGATTTTCACTCGCTGACAGTTTTCTGAAGATCGATAAACACAAAATCTAAGGCAAATCAGTGCTCATTAACATCAGTTATGATTGCATAGTGTGAATTATCAAAGAGGTGATCTAAGAGAAGCACAATGCGTCGCAGATGCCTAGGAAATATTTAGCAGGCTATATATCTGTCCTGTCTGCGACTCAGAGCCTTGCAGTATGAAATGCGTTATGACTGAAAATGACACCAGCTACAACATACAACCAATGAGAGAGCAAGATACAGGGCAAAGTATATTTCTGTTTCTCTTTTTTTTTTTTTGCTGTAATTCAGCACAGAAAGCCTGGATCGCAAGTTTCTTCTAGCACATGCGTTTGGTAAACAAGACAGTCTGGGATTCTTCCTATAGTGAAATATTGTGTAATGTGTAACCCTTGGCTGCCAGTCCGTCATGTAATGTGCAAACCAGAGTAGCTTTATGAACAGTCGTATAGTATTAGACAGAGTCAAGACCAAAACCAAAATGACCAAGACCGAGACTCGAGTACTGCAACACTAATACTAACATTATAAAGTTTTGGCTTTAGCCGTTTTTGGTGGAAACATTAGATCAATGGATCATCTCCCTGCAGCCTGATCCACCCACACAGCCAGAGAAGAGCGAGGGGGAAAAAAAAGAGTGATTACAGCCATTTCATCTGATTATTCATCAGTGTCATTATGATAATGGAGGCAGCATAAGTTATTTTGGTACAATCCAATGATTATGGCGATTATACCTGGCCATAGATGCTTCAGTCTAAATGACTTGACAGGCTAAGACTCCTACTGGATGCGCAGAGGAAGCTGAGGAAGATCTATGTGGGAGTAATTTGCATTACTCCCTCGTTTTGTATCTATTTTCTCTGCCTAAACAGCTTGAAAAGCCCTTCTAAGAGGCAAGTAAGATATTGATTTTTTACTTGTTTAAACACACCGGTAGGATAGGGCTTCGATCATTTGAAAGATGTGTATCACCCTCCTTAGAATATACTGACGTTCAGATGCAGAATTGAATTGTATTGTACACCCTGTTGTTTAATGCAGTAACGGATTTTGGTTTTATTTCAATGTGCTGGAACATTGCAATAATTTTAATGAGCGTGAAATAAATTGCAGAAGGATCATACTTTTCACGATTACTTTGAAATCATACTACAGCATCAGTTTTATTCCATTGTTTAATGTTACTGTCTACTCAAGGTGAACATGACATGCACTTATTGTGCACTTCAGTCTTTGTAAATTTAAATGGAGGGCTTCCATTTGTAAAGCCTCTTCTTTGGCTTCAACACAGTCTCCCCATTTAAGTAAAGACCTTGGCAGGCATCCCATAAGCAAAATCCTTTCTGTAAGCCATTGTTTCCAGGTCCTGAGGAGCCAACGCAGTGTCTCCTGAGAACTCACTTTAGCGTGTTGTTTGGTTTGTCCTTTTACACTTCTAGGGCAAATAAGCAGAGCACACTCCAGAACATTGTACTGTGTATTTAAACATTTTTACATAATATTTAGATTTAGTTAATAACTGCTTATGCAATTTTATGTTGCCTCTAACCTCAGCAATGAAAATGCAAAAGGGAAATTATGCACATACCATTTACCTTAGTTAAAAAGCATTAAATATTTCGCACACATTTTATTAGGTGTAGTGTGAGATGTTTACCGCTTTGTACTCACAACACAACCATGACTTGACTGCATTTGGATGTATATTCCTCTATAACACTAAATCGATCGTTGTCCTTGTGGAGACCCTTGGTGTCCTAAATGGAGGAAACAGAGATTTACTGAGATAGCAAACAGAGCAGCACAGTGTACCAAAGGATTGCTTCCAAGGATAAGCTATAAGATTCTCTGAATATTAATTGGCTGATTTACCACCAAATACATAACCCTGCCATGAAAAAAGATTGGTTAATCATTCAGATCATTATGAGCAGTTTTTATTTGTTTTTAAAATATTTATTTTGTAATCTGGGGATAAACAACATAAAATGATAATGGATCAGCAGCACAGATGCACAGTGAGACAATCCGAGACGTTTCAATAGGATATTACAGACAAGAGAGATGAATAATTCTAATTAAATCATTCATTTTATTCTAAGGAGACTGAGATATTTCAACTTGATCATCACTGACAAAGTATGTGATATTTTTCAGTCTGGATTCAGACTGCTTCTAACAACAGACTAATCTAATACTGACAAAAGTCAAGTTCACAGTCATCTGCAGCATTTATTTATTGTATATCAACCAACATGCAGCCCACTCATGCATTGAGGTTGATGTTTTTATTGGTGTCATGCGCCTTCAGTCCACAGCACCTGTTGCCATACTGATTGGAAAGCTATCTGTCTCATATTTATTTCATTTCTGTGTTAAGAGATTCTGAGAGTAATTATAACATAGCTTGCTTGATCTCATAAATTAAAGCATTTCTATGTATTTCAAGATACTCAATTGCTTCTCTTCATAATATACAGAAATTCAATTTTTCCTGAATTTCTCTCTCCTTTTATTTCCCTCTCATTATTTATAGCAATACTGATTATAGTAACCTATTTGCAAACAGCATAGGAAATAAGACATCTTATTTTTCATAAGAAACCTTGAGCAGGTAATGAGAGCAGAGACTTGCAGGGAGAAGGGATTTTAAATTTAGTGTGTGCTGTAGCAGTGGCACATTTCTTGTGGGTTTTGACAATTCGGTTGCTCTGTATCTTCATAGCATGTGCAAGCACATAGAGTTGAATATACAAGCCAAATACACATCCTTATCTGCTAGATATGCCCAGTGATGGACCTGTCTGCACCTTAATCCATCCCTCTGACAGCTTGCTGTGACAGGATTTCCATATATCTCATTTTAGTGCATAGCATAAATGATTCAGGGTGGTTTAGGGAATTTCACACTCAAGGCACTTGGTAATATTATAATGAAACAAATGTACAAAAAATATCTTGCTTTTAAGCATTACAATAACATCACACATGCGTGTGATTTTTCCTTTGAAAATGCCGTTCCTAATAAATTTATATTAATGTTTTTTCCCCATCTTTTTCACTGTGTTAATTGCAAGTCTTGAAAGTGGGGATAAAAAATAGTCAGGTCAAAGTGAACTAGTTGACTAAGCTCAGGTCCGCTATTACATACAGTGCAACAACAAAAAAAATCAAGAAATTGCATCTTTCAGTCACTTGCACTTTTTTATATTGTAGTGTGTGTGCTTCTATGTGCAGGCTCATTTAACAGCTGTGATGGTAATGATACTCAATTCATCAATCACATCAGAAAAAGTCTATTTTGCATGTGCACTGCCTAAACAGCAATGCTTGTTTTCATCAGAATATCAGAAATTTACATGCATTTCCATTTGACAGAAGAATGTTCTTCTTGATAAATTGCAGAACATCAGCGGAATTTGATGTTCTGTTTGACTGCCATCATGCTACGCTGACAATTCAGCATGACGTACTATGCTAACAGATTTATTTTCCTCTTTCCTCTTTTTCAGACTGCCTGTAAATGTTTGGGGAGAGAAACTCAGCGGGCATTAAATTATGAATGTTGAACAAGATGACCTCTTACCATCAGTGCCAGATGTTGAGAGGTCCTAGATGGAAAGGGGCTTGGTTTGACCCCTTGTTTCTCCTGCTTCTAGCCCTGCAGTTGCTTGTTGTCGCTGGATTGGTACGAGCCCAAACCTGTCCTTCCGTATGTTCCTGCAGTAATCAGTTTAGTAAGGTCATCTGCACACGCAGAGGGCTAAAGGATGTCCCTGATGGCATCTCCACCAATACAAGGTATCTAAACCTTCAGGACAATCAGATCCAGGTCATCAAATTAGACAGTTTCAAGCATCTGCGACACCTTGAGATTCTTCAGCTCAGCAGAAACCACATCCGCAACATAGAGATTGGCGCCTTCAACGGGCTTACCAGCCTTAACACTCTGGAGCTTTTTGACAATCGCCTCACGACCATCCCAAATGGCGCCTTTGAGTATCTATCAAAACTGAAAGAGCTGTGGCTTAGGAATAACCCTATTGAGAGCATACCGTCTGATGCCTTCAGTCGCTTGCCCTCCCTGCGGCGGTTGGACTTGGGAGAGCTGAAGCGTCTCTCCTACATTTCCAGTGGAGCATTTCAGGGCTTGAGTAACCTTCGATACCTAAATCTGGGCATGTGTAACCTCAAAGAGGTCCCCAATATTCAGCCCTTGATTCGTTTGGATGAGCTGGAGATGTCTGGAAACCAGCTCACCATCATTCAGCCCAGTTCTTTTAAGGGTCTCATCCATCTTCAGAAGCTGTGGATGATGCACGCCCAAGTCCAAACCATAGAGCGGAACTCCTTCGACGACCTGCACTCTTTACGAGAGCTCAACCTGGCTCACAACAACCTTACCTTTTTGCCCCACGATCTCTTCACGCCTTTGCACCACCTGCAGCGAGTACATTTGCATCACAATCCCTGGAACTGCAACTGTGATATTCTTTGGCTGAGCTGGTGGCTGAGAGAGACCGTACCTACGAACACCAGCTGCTGCGCCCGCTGCAATTCCCCTCCCAGCCTCAAGGGGCGCTACATCGGCGAGCTGGACCAGAGCTACTTTCAGTGCTATGCACCCGTTATCGTCGAGCCACCTGCCGACCTCAATTTGACTGAAGGAATGGCGGCAGAGCTCAAATGTCGGACGAATTCCATGACCTCGGTCAGCTGGCTAACACCAAATGGCTCCATCATGACACATGGGGCGCTCAAGATGCGCATCTCCGTCCAAAACGACGGAACGTTAAACTTCACCAACGTCACCATCCAGGACACGGGAACCTACACTTGCATCATAAGCAACATGCTAGGCAACATTTCGGCATCCGCTGTCCTCAATGTGACATCCGTCGACAACAGCGGCTTTAGTTACTTCACTACGGTCACTGTAGAGACAATTGAAACCATTATCGATGGGGAGAGCAGGACACCGGTGCAGCCATCTTTTGGCTGGGCGTCCTCTTCGACCACAAGGGGAACACCTATTGCCACCGAGAGAGCGTACACCATTCCCGTGACTGACATAGACATCGATGGCGCTCTCAATGGTTTGGAGGAGGTGATGAAAACCACCAAGATCATCATCGGCTGCTTTGTGGCCATCACGCTCATGGCGGCCGTCATGCTCATAATATTCTACAAGATGCGCAAGCAGCACCACCAGCAGGATCACGATGGGCCGACCCGCACCATCGAGATAATCAACGTACACGAGGAGCTGACGAGGGTTCCGGCCTTGGAGAGTCACCTGACTCTCCCACCCCTGGAGCATGAGCATTACAACCACTATAACTCCTACAAGACTTCTTATAACCATGTGTCTGCTCTCAGCTCGCTGCATAGTTCAGTGCATGAACCTTTACTAATCCAAGCCAGCTCAAAGGATAATGTGCAGGAGACGCAAATTTGACCATGTCGAACGAACCGAACTGTACTAATGCTGTTTAAATTTTGGTTCGGACATGCTGTTGTAATGAAGATGACAGTGTGCATTAAGACATTCAGCAATGTCAGTGAGAGCCAGGGTGTATAATTATTTTAACAAGTGTCTTTACAAATCTTATTTATTTAAAGATATGTGAAGTGACTGAATCATGAAATCACAAGTCAAAAAGGTTAACATCTTTTTTCTTTTTCGTTTTGAGAACTGGGGGAATGAATGGTTTACTTTCATGTGTTGGTAGAATTAAGGTCAGCTGCGATGGTTATTAGCGCAATGAGACAAGAGTTGTGTTTTTGTTTTTTAGTTGTGGCATATTACATCCCTTTGCACCAATGTGTTTTCGTTTTTTTGAGACACTGGAATCAAAAACTGGCCACTGAAAACAGCAGACTTTAAATCGCATGGAGCACTTAGATATGAATGGTGGGCCTGATGGATGCGGTGACTCTAGAGAGGTGTATAAATGGTTACATTTCCCCATGAAAAATCATGTTACTGAACAAAAAAGGGAAAGCTTTCATTGTCAGGGCCTGGATTATTCTGCAAATGCAGCTTGTGGGATAGGACATATTTCTAGTATTTATAGAAGCCAGTGTTCGGAGCACACAACAATTAACTTCAATTCAGAAAATATTGCATAATTGCCTTGAATTACAGCCCTTAAGTCAAGATAGTGTCTAAAATGTGGCACTGGAAATTCAGGATTTTAGGTTCAGCATTTTTTTCACAAAATATATTTATAACTGTAAATGCCAACAACCTATGAATATAAATATGAATTATATACATCGTTGAACATCAGGCTAGTACAATTATAGCCCCAATGCTACATGTGTGTGGGATATAATAGTATGTTAACCAAATGCGAGATATGAAATAACCCTGAGTGGCTGAGGACAAGGGAATATGATTTCGAAGATCGTTTGCTGTGCGAGTTTCAGACAAAAATGGCTGAGGAAATAAATAATGAAATAAAAAATAGCCTGCTAATGTCACTATGGAAACCACGACCTACTGAAAGAAAAAAAAAACACTGGACACAATCAGAGTGCAGCCCAGTGCTTAAAACATGTATTGTTTATTTGAGAATTGCAATATTTTCAATAGAGCTGATTTGTAAACCACTGGTTTTTACTGTGTATCAGAGGTGTAAAGAGTACCTAAAAACCATACTTGAGTAAAAGTACAGATACCTTACAGTGAAAATTACTCCACTACACGTTACAAGTCACCAATTCCAAAACAACTTGAGTAAAAGTCTTAGAGTATCCAGTAACTAATTACATTTACTCCAATACTTTACACCTCTGCTGTGTATGTGTGCTTTTATATGTTTGTGTTGTATCTGCCATATACCATGAGTTATTATTTTACCATTGTCTATAGTATTTTACCTTCTGTCGTCTATTTTGAAATCACTTTTTTCTAGAATGGAATGCTTTGAATGGCAACTGCATACGTCACCTAACATGAGTGTGTGAATGTGTCGTGTGTCCATACGTGCAAAGGGTTGTGTGTTTGTACGCTCTGCCATGACACTCTGTTTTTCATCAGCATGTGTATTGCTTTCTCAAAATGTTTCTCAACATAAAAGCTGATGTGTGATGTCTCTCTCCCCCTTTTAATCATTTTGGACGGCATGATGAGAAGATGTGATACTGGTCTCACCAGTCAACTGCTGAAGTAAACCTAATAGGTTCATTTGTCAAAGGCATCAGAACGGTACATGAAGTATATACCTCTAATTCATCACATGAGCTGACAAGTTTCATTTTAAATAGATGTGTTTGCCAGCAGGGAATTCATCACACAACATTGTGTATGTAAGGTTTTAATCTCACATTTTAGCAGTGAATTAACAGAATCATCTACTGAATGTGACAAGAAAACATATTTCATCTTACATGATTCTTTTTGTATTTAATTTTTTACGTTTTCATTTTTTGGTGGCCCCAGATGTTTACTTTTACCCTCATTGCCATTTATATATGGAAGATGAATTGTTATCACATGTTAAGCATTTCATAAATGATAAACTGTTGCTTCCCAGCATATGTGTTTTTTAATTCATTCATTTTTGTATTCAATTAAAAAATGTTCCTACTATTTTTATTGTATATAACAGGTGGGATAAATTGGGACACTAGAAAAAAAACAGCATTGTGCTGTTGAAAAACAGATGACAATGTCTCTGTTTTCAGAGGGTCTGTATATGAATGCTAGCTTGCTCCTATCTGCTTCAGTGTTCCTGAGCACTGCATCAGTTACAGAAGCTACTTTGACTAGATCATTGATACCTACATGGCCTACATAGAAAATCTGTGGTGTTGGACTAAGCGGATTCTCTTTTGTTTTCTTCTTGTGATTTGTTTGTTATTGGTAACTCATTTTAGATTTCTATGCTGAACTGAAGTGATTTTTTGGGCAAGAGAATGTCTCTTTATTGACATATTTCTACAAGAACTGTTATTGAAAAATAACCAATAATATTTCTGTCAAACTACACATTTGCTGATCAATTCATAATGCTACTGTATGGGGATACAGCTAACTAAGCGTTAACCATGAAAAAATATATAAAATACCAGAGATTGTAGTTCATACGGTACATGCTGTAAATGTAAATAAAATGTTTTTTTCTAAAGTGTGAAGTGTTGGGACTTTTAAACTGTGCTTTTCAGTATTTCACATTATTTGCTTTGGGTTAATAACAGCTGGAGAATCACACTTCGAACAGCCATACCATAGAATGCCATTAGGTCTCTGGAGTAGATGTTAACCTCGTCTAAACCATGAACTATTATAAACACTATAAAATAAGCTGTTTCTCAGGCGTAATAATATGTTACATAAATAGAAATACTGTATTTCTGACTTGTGGTCCAAGCCTTGATTGGTAGTGAGATGTACTGTAAAACAGGACCTATGCATAAGCTCTAACTATATGTGATGTTTTCAAGATTTTTTTTCATCTCACACCAATTAGTACTAATCAGTGCTAATGTTGTTGTGTTAAACAGGTGTCGAGTTTTCATAAATAACTTTCAAACTAGTAAATGAGTTGATGCACAGGATGACCCTGTCTGTTTGAGAAAGCAGAGACTAAAGCAGAGACAGTCCACCTGTACAGTACATATATGCATGGAAGAAATCTTAAGCACATCTTATGATACTGTTGTTGTCAGATTTGATTCCTGGTTTGAAATATGTTACTATTTAAACAAACTGTTGAAGAAATTTCTGTCTCTCCCCATTCAAGTAAATATGAGCTGTACTTGCGAAGCTGGAAATAGCTGCCTGTGGGCGTTAAGAATATGGCCGCCAAGTGAACGGACTTGTTATAACTTTGGAGAAAGCCACATGATCATGATTTCCTGTGTGAATCAGACTATTTAAATCGTGCAATCACAAATATAAGTCTTCCACAATAAGGTCACAATAGCTGATATCTGGTCACCTATAAATGCATTTTCATTTAAAAATTAGACACACAGGTTTAGAAACTAGTAGCTAGTACAGTATGTGGGTGGGATGTCAAAGATGTTGATAATGAAATGTTAGCATATGTCTGTGGTAAAGATTTGTGTTCTGTGGAATCTAAAACAGGATGAAGGCAGGGTGTCCTGTGGAATACCAATTAAGTTATTTTTCAGAAAAACACTTAAAGGGATACTCTATAGCCAAAAATGGCTCAATTTACTCACCCTCAAGAAGGGAATGACTTTCCCATATGAATCCATATGACCCCAGTTGATGAATCAATGTCTTCTGGAGCTAAATGAACTCGTCTAGGACAGTTGGCCAGAAATGATGGTTAATAGCTAAAAAAAAAAAAAAAAAAAGTTCAAAATATGGTATTAGGTAGTTCTATTAGTAATATTAGTTGGTTAGTATTTTTCTTACACACCTCTTGTCATTTTGCTTCAGAGGACATTGATTCATCAACTAGGCTTGTATGGATTGTGTTAAATTTTGTGTGATTTTTGAAAAATCAGTTTTGGTGGTCACATACACAAATGGATTCAAAAAGATGGATTAATTTTAATGAATTAATAAAAACCTTATATACATCTGGGACGGCATTAGGGTCAGTACAATAGGAGAAAATGTTCATTTCTGGGAGAACAATCCCTTTCAAGTTACACACCCATCAAAACATTTGCCCTTGTAAAAAAATATATATATTTAAAATACATTTATTTCATACTAAGTATAGTTCAAATCTATTACCATATTTACTGACATATCGCTCAAGACTTACTGATATAAAAATTATAATTAACTTAATTAATTCAACTTTATTTGGAGTGCTACTTGTGCACAATGCACATTTCTTATTACATTAAGCCTATGTTTTAATGTCACTTGATGAGGATTGTATGATCTTTGAATAAGTCTATAATGCAAGATATTCAAAGTGTACCTGAAGTATACTTGCACTAGTTCCACTTTAGCACAATCAAATATACTAAGTATATCTTTAGTTGGACTTCTGCGCAATTAAAGTGCATTAAGTACAAAATTAGTTGTTCCAATTTATCAGACTTTTAAGTATACCAGTTCAGTATACCAAAAGTACAATTGCAGGGTATTTTTGTTAAGTACGAAGTAAGTATGAAAATGTATGTTTAGTATACTTAGCATTAAATAAATGCATTTCAAATAAATTTTAGTATATTTTCACTATTTTCACTAGGGTGTACGCACAATAATATATATCTTAGGTTGTTGCTTATATGCATACAGGATTAATTTTAAAACCAAGGATTTTTTTTTTTGTAACACCCCTGGATCCACAAACCCATTTAGACATCGTTTGCATTAATTCATGTAAATGAGGAAGCCTGCATGAAGCAAAGCCACAGGTTCACACTGAACACTATATAGCACCGACATCAAACTGAGAGACGAGTGACCCCTAGACTTCCAGAGGCATATTTTGGTTTAAGCTGAACTTGATTTTACAGCACCTTCTGTTGAGTTATGAGCCACTTGACCTCTAATCCATAGGATTTAGACTGAGGTCTTCACAGCGCTTGAAACTTGTGAATTGAATTTATAGGTGCCCTGCATTGTCTCGTTCCCCACGTGATTAATTGCGCAGGGCCTCCTGACAGACGGAAGTACACCAGTTAATTAATTTTGCAGGGACAACGCCATTAGCCGCACAGGAAGAGGACGGGTGTGCGCTGGAATAGAATACAGGTGCAGTCTGTGTGTCTGCCTGTCCCAGCCCACAGCGCCGCCTGTAATAATTAATCTCTTTAGTGATTCACACAAGCTGTCGACAGAACCTCGTCACATTTACAGGTAGCAGTATCTCCCATCACTGCAATTACTCTGATATGGAAGGGATCAATTACAACAACATATCATTTGAGCGCTGACTGGTTCCTCTACAAAGAAACCGTGCAGACTTTGGCATCTTTATCTTTTAAATAGTGCTGATATAGTTATCTGCAGTTATGATCTATTCTGGTGGACTGGCAGCGAAGAGGCGATGAAATACGGAAAGCTATGCCTCTGCCAGGAAGTCCACTTACTCCTCCCTCAGCAGAAACTTTTAGGCATCACATCAATTCATCTTCATCTCATATTTTTAGGCTGCTGGAGGAGAAGACATATAAATAGAAGAATCTGACCAAAACTAATTACGAATGTAAAATAAAATATTTTCATATAAGTGGTAATATACAGTCATTAACACAAAACACTGACAAGGAGATCAGGACTCACACTTAGCTTAGTGCACGGTTATTGACCAAACAAACAAATAAATAAATATGTGACATTTTTATAATTTTGCCTTTATGTGTATTAACACAAAGAAACAATTTGCTGAAAATGTACTCACCCTCAGGCCATCCAACACATGTTTATTTCTTCATACAGATTTGGAGAAATTTACCATTACATCACTTGCTCGCAAATGGATCCCCTGCAGTGAATGGGTGCCATCAGAATGAAAGTCCTGATAGAAACCTCAAAATAAATCATTAGTAATCCACACAACTCCAGTCCATCAGGCAACGTCTTGTGAATTAAAAAGCTGTGGGTAAGAAACAAATCCATCATCAAGTTAATTAAACTTTAAACCATCACTTCTGGTCATGGATCTGGTCAAGTCCATCTCTGT